GGGGGGGGGGATACGTTCAGGAGTGGGCAGCCAACGGTGACAGAAGTCCTATTTTACTTCTCGCCACTAAAACTGATAATTATTAAGGGGAAGGGTGAGGGAGCTAGTGTTTGCTTCCTCACAACATATTGTTCAAGTCGTTATGGTTAATTCTTCATTTGTGTCTTTCAACTTCCGGTCTCGGAGCACGGGCGCCGACACTGAAACTCTCCAGTAAAATCTTGTGTGATGAGAACAAACTAATCCCGCCCCACAACTGTTGTTTCTAAAAACTCAATGATTTAGGAAAGGACTCCAGGAAGTCCCACGATCAATCCGTCGGAGAATTCAGATCGAAAGGTGAAATAATTAGCGCCATATAATTAAAAATGAAATATAAAGACAAAAACAAAATGAGTAACTAACTAAAACAAATATTATTGACTCTCGCCTAGCCCAAATTGAGTTCCCGTTCGATATATTTCGAGGACCACGGACCAGTCAAAACTAAAATGTGATACGTTACACGATATATCGGGAAAACCTGCTGCAAATTACATTTACATGTTTTCATCTCATTTTTATGAATTATGAAATCGTGAGGGGAATTCTTCATTATCATTTACTATTTTATGAATTTACGGCCGTATTATGAATGAGAATAATACATTGTCATTCCGTTCAGTGCGACGTGACCCTCTATGCTGGTCTAGAATCGTAGGTATATTACTGCTTAGTTATTGCACGATCTTCTTCACGATTTCCAGCATTCATTACAATATACATTGAATCAGAGTCCTACAATCCACTAAACTGAGTCAGTAATTCACTCAATCAATTTCACGGTTCATAACGATAACATAGCTGATATCCCGCTGTGCTCAGAAGAAAGCTTTTTATGAATTATTTTCAGATGTCTACGGCAGCATTACATCATTTTCCTGATGAATCTGATCATACCTCGAGGATAACTTCATTACCATACCAGCAGAAGTAAAATATTTGTGTTGTCATGCATAAAAGGTAAAAAACTGTGAATGGGTACTCAGGATTATTGACTTCCATCTGTGCCACTCGATAGACACTAATACATAGAACATAGCAACTTATTGCATATTGAATGAAGATAATGGTGGAGAATAAATCATTCGCTGTTTCTGCAAATCTAGAAAAGATTGTCCATCATATTTACTATAATCAATAGAGACCATAGGGAAAAGTCTGTCAAAAATTACCTGAGAATTGTTTTGTGGTGCAAGATGATTTCCTTGAGAAGTTGTCTCTGCATTTCCTCCGTATAGGAACCTTGTTCCTCTTTTAGTTCTTTAAAAAAACTGGGAAGATTCTCCTGCCGAAATTTCAAAATTTGCAATTGTGCACAAGTGAGAAGCATCATTCCAGCAACGAGTGTATCATTGCCAATAGCAATTGTCGATTGAAATCCATGACCAACAATGACTTGTTGAAGATAAAGACACCAGTAAGCAAATTCCGAATTATTATAATAAGGCACCCAAACTCTGAACGGTAAGGTACGTTCTGGAATATTTTCAAATATTGATGATACTGTTGAAGTAAATACAGCTATCTCAACGATGCAGAAGAAGAAGAAAAAATTGATTCTTTGATGAAATGTTGAATAAATCCCGGAAGCATGAACGGAAAAATATATAAAATAAATAGAGATTAGTGAACGATAGTTAAAGATAGTATTAAGTATAGCCATAAAATGACAATCCCTCACAACTTACATTAGATTAATTAAAAATGCCATCATGTACAATCAATAAAATTTTTTCAGACAATTATCCCTTGCAAACCATATTATAATTCCTTAGAACGATGTTATTAAAGTTTAAGTACAGTACAGTCCTTACTCAGAAGTGGGCAAGAAATTGTGATTATGGTTTACAATAATTAATCAGTCTGTGTCTATTTCATGGTGCTCTGAAAGTTCCAGATCGATAATAATTCATTTGTTGATTTCTGGGTATTGTTCTGCTTATTTCCATGTCACTATATTTACCCAGATTTAAACTATATTAGAAAGCATATGATTGGTGTGGTATATATATTATATATATAGTGTAACGTGCTATTTTACCCGTTACTAGTTCTCGACCGTTCCGCGATTTTTGAGACTTCCACCAGACGGGAAGTCACCTTCGATGGCGAGAATTCGTGAGAGGAGAGGAAAATATTAGTTTTGGTTTTATTTTTTTTTATTATTTTATTTTCGAATTGAAATTACGCGCCACTGCGTTCTGAGGACATCGCCAAGGATCCCCAGGAAGCCGAGAGATGTCGCTAAGCTCCTGAAACTTTGATAGACGACTGGATTATGGACGTAGCCGATAATTGAGCTACAATGCAGTCACCTTGAGGCCGGAAGTGACACAGAGATTCGTGCAAGTAGCTGTTCGGAGATCAGTGAATACGGTTAAGATTTTTTATACATATTCGGAAAACTTGGTGTAACAACAAAAAATGGGGCTTTGGAAACTCCCATACAATAGCATGGAATGTCGCTATGACCGGCCTAAATGCCGATCATGCGAAGTGACCACAATAAAAGAGACCACATAGCAAGTATTCAAGTGGCCGTCATTATGACCTGAAAGGCGTTAAGGAGTGACCATCAAGGCGACAACACCTGGAAACCACGAATCATTTAAAAAGAAGCCACACAATTGCTGAAAGGCACAGCTAAGGAGATCCTTTTTATCCTTCCCATTCTGGGGGCCAATAACTTAAACAACCCTCCAATGGTAACCGCAGATGGGAGCTGCCCCAAAGAATTAAAAACGTCGGCAATTCAGAGATGGACCACCCCAGCCACGGGTTTGCCGATATCGACAAAGGAAGAGGCAGGCTAATAGGGGGGACATCTGCTCCGAATGCCTCCCCCCATTGGTTACAGGGGGTTGGCCGGGACCATGACGTCACCTGCACCCCATGCCTAACGAAAGTTATGAGATGGCTTCCAGGAATTGGTACAATTCACCAGATGATTTCTTGTTGTCCAAACAAGGGGACATCTCCAGCCTCAAAGGGTCCACTCCATTTGACACGCGAGGCTTCTAATGAACAATAGTTATCCATCGTCAAAGGAGGTGTCAAATTTATGGGCCATGAACGTCATAAAGATGCATAAACATGAGAGAGGCCAATGCGCGCTCGTCCCGTCTTTCTCGCAAAAACTTCTCTCGCACCTGGGGAAATGGGGGGTAGTATCAGGGTGAGGGTACATTGCCCAGAAACATCCCTTTTGAATACATTTTCTCGCACCATACCTCAAAAAAACGTGGGATGACGAAATCTCAAAATGCCAACGGCTGTAGGGGAATCACGCCCGAACAGTATATAAAGGGCGGTTTTTCGCCAAATAAAGTCAGTCTAAATTGAATCTTCGACTCGTGATCTTCAAGTGGTATCCTGCTCGTCATCCAGTTCAACCCTCCAGGCCCAGTCTTCAGGAGAGCAACTCTGCAGGACCACCCTCTGACGTCACCACTGGGGCACAGTCCGAGCGTACAACTCGACTCTTCTCGCAACTGCAGATCGGGGGCGCAGCTTTAAATCACTACCAACGAGTCCAAAGTAAAATTTCGACTCTTGGTCATTAACGAGGGGCCCTGCTCATTAATAAAGCTGACCCTTCGAGATCCGTCTGTTGGGAAGCAGCTCTGCAGCACCGCCCACTCTTATCGCTACTACATCAAGTGGACAACTCGATTTTCTTCACTACGTCAGATCGACGAGTGTACTTCAAGGGAGGCAAGCCAGCCGGTCCCATTACCAATTCTTGATTTTCTGCTCGTCAACAAGCTGACCCGTCAAGATCCGCCTGTTGGGAAGCAGCTCCGCAGCATCGTCCACTCTCATCTGTATCGAGTAGACAACTCGATTTTCTACATTGCGTCAGACCAATCGCATTTCTGCAAACCAGCACCGACCTGGTAAATCACTCAGCGTACAACTGAGTTCATCCTGAGCGTTCAGCCACGGATATATATTGCAAGCCAGTGCTGACCTGGTAAATTTGCTCAGTGTTCAACTGAGCTCATCCTGAGTGTACAACTCAGGGAATCCTCTCGTCAAGCCAGCACCGACCTGGTGAATTACGCAACGTACAGCTGAGTTTACCCCGAGTGTCTAGCTTCGGGATTTCTCCACACCTAGCAACACTAAAGTTAGGGGACAACCAAGTTCCGCCTGAGTGAACAACTCAGGCCCACAGACACCCCCAACGACTCCGGGGGCATATCATCATCATCACCAGCGCCAGAGAGGCGTGTTTGGGCAGCTTTCAACTCCATCAGTGCTAGAGGATCTAGCATACTTTTGGAGTCTCTCCGGAATCCGCTGCGAAGGGGAAACACGAAGAAACCATCCGTTCCCTGTAACCGTTTGAATTCAACAACCGTAAGTCAGAAAACACACCAACAACATTTACACTATTCCTCCCTACACTCTTTTCCTACCTACATCTGGTTTTTATCTTGGACTTCCTTCTATTCTGTACACCAAGTGAAGTATAATAAATTTAAATTCGACTTTAAGGGAAACTTAAGGGTATCTTTCTCTTTGTGTGCTAATTCCTCACATTATAACCATTGTGTACTTCAGTGCTTAGTCCCACGCAATCGGCCCCCACTAAGTGAGATTTATAAGATCCTTTCTCCTCCGGACACTACCTGTCGTGGCTAGTGACGGTCAACTCATCAGAAGGGTTCACCTTTGTAACGAGATTTTCTCGTTAATAGAGAATATCACTAGTAAAATAACTAGGTGACATGAACGACATCTAACGCCGGCTGAAATAGCCGAGCGAAAGATGAATAGACCATCGGACGACGGCCAATCAGGCCGCTCCGAAAGGAAATTAGACCAATCACACAGTGAGAAGAAACGTGGTAGGGTGAGACCATGTTTCGGAACACCGTGATGGCGCTGACGATAGCTGTTTCCC